GGGCTGCACTATGAAATGAATTTGACCTACTTAGCTTTACCTTGGGGGCTATCAAGGAATGTCAGGATTAATGAACTCTACGACACTAAAACCATAATTAAGATGCACACTAACTAATGTGGAGCTTGTGCCCTTTCATGTAAAAGCAGTGGGGTTTGCTTTGCCCCACTGCCGGTCACAGACGCATTTCTGCGTATTTCTCATGAGAAGGATCAAATGTAATCCATATCCAAAACAAATGTGAGAAATTTTTAAAATCTAATACAGGATGAAGGCAGAAGGAAAGCTGAGGAAAAAACACCAGATAAGTTCTGTTAATGTGTGTCATGGATTCATCTGTAATCCTCTCTATTGTTGGATTTTGTCACTTTATTTAGGCCCAAAGAACAATAAAAAATCCCAGCTGCTACTTACATTTCATAGGATGGTTTACTTGGGAAGTTTAACCTGACATTATAAAGTTTTGTAGTTTCGCTCTTAAGCTCTTCTCCTTGTGGCTGAAGATCACGATGTTAGCTGTACGTTTGCAGCCGTGGTGCAGAATAAATTTGACACCCTAATGGTGTTGCATGATAAATGACTATGTAAGCATGCGACGTGTCCAACACCTTTGCAGAGTACTGTGATAACTGAACACCTCCATAGAAATATGTGTGTCTGAGCACCGTGGTCAGCATTTGTGGTCCTTTCTTGGCTTCCCTTTCAAAATGTTTCAGGACACATCAAGCTGTGTGTGTCTGAGTGTGTGTTCGCCTGCCTGTCTCAACGCTGGAGGGAGGGAGTCAATCACAGCAGCAGAAATCATCCCTGCAGGCGATCTGTCTCCACTCATGACAAGGCTCCTAAGGCACTTATCTTTCGTTCCCTGACTCATACCATCTATCCCGCCCTCCCTCTGTCGCTTCCCCCCCTCAGTCTTCCTTCCTATTCGCGATCACTCTCTGTATCCCTCCCACGGTTTGTCTCGTGCCCTGGCACCGCAATTAACTTCTCATCATCAAAGAGTGTAATGAAAAAGAAGGCGAGATGGAGAGTCAGACAGAGTTAGGGAAGCTGCGAGAGAAGAAAGATAAGAGGGATGGAGCCAGAGGAGCTGTGACTGAACAGAGGTGAAGCACTCACACAATGCTAGCACACACTTGTGCGCACTCAGTTTTTTTTCTTCTGTTTTTTTGCCCCTGAAATGCACACATTCAGAAAAAGAACGGGAGGAGAGATTATTCTTTCCTCGTTCCCTCGTTCCCTGCTTTTATTCCTCAACCCTCCGTTTCTTCCTCCTTCTTCTTTTACAGACACACACACTTGTTCTCACTGCCTCCTCCTCCTCCCCCTCCTTTTCTTTGAAGAACAAGAAGTATTGCTGCACATGTAGGGAAGCTGCTCTGTCGGCATTCTCATTGTTTTTCTTCACCCCCTTGGTTCAGAGAGCTGTCAACTGTGACCGCTGTTGAAAGGATGTCAGCAAGAGACTGAGAGAGGGATTCAGGCGGAGAGGGTGGGGGGATGAAAGAGACGAGCGAAGGAGGGAGAGGGGATGTCGAGATGGAGGTCCCTACGGAGGGCAGAGGGAGTAATGGCATGCTTGTTTCTTTGTGCCCGAGCAAACGTTGCAATAGCAGCGGTAAGGGGAGGTGATGGAGGGAAAAATAGCTGAGGGCAAAAAAGCAGCTTGGGGTGGAGAGATGAGAGGGGCCAAAGCTGCTAATGAAGCATGGCACTAGCGCTCAATAACAGTGACATAATTGGCCTTAGTTGGTGGTCCTCAGGTGTGGAAACCCTCAGCAGTGAAATGCAGTTCACAGAAGTATGATTTGACTAATTTGACAGCATGTTAGAAAATGTGCATAATTTACAATGTAACATGGTGGATTATGACCAAAACCAGAATAGCTGAGTTGCAGGCTCCAGCGGGGAGTCAGAAGAAAACCCTCAAGCTCTTTCTGGCCTGTTCTCCGTCTGATTCCTCCACATGTGCCGACATTAAAATCTGCTTGCTGAATTTCCCCAACCACAGTACCACAGTCTGTGTGCCCGTTACCTCAAATTTAGGGCAAGTGTTTAAAATCATCACTTTCTCCTCCATATATAGTCAAAATTCACCAGCTGCTCCTCTAAGCCTATTTGTGTGTGATGAAGATGGACAAAGCCACTGTGGTGTCACCCAAAATCCTGTTTTTAAAACCTCAAGCATCTTAGGGAGACTGCATCCATACTTGAACTAACAGAACCATAATTTACAAAATGAATATTAAGTAAGTTGCATTAAGTTGGCTTCAAACAAGAAGTTGAAATGATTAAGTAGGACAGCACTCTCCAAGTTTGTCTCCTTTCTGAGCTAACATGCTTTGCAGTAAATTTCTTTGTTCATTTAGAGGCTGCAGGGAGTCCTTCATCTCATTTCTTCAGCTTCCCAGCCCTTTTTTTTCTTTTCAAATCAAATTTGTTCCCAAATGTTCAGCGATTGCTGGACTGATGTTGGTTGTTGGACGTCTCGCCCAACCGTATCATCCTGACCTTATCTGTCTAGGATATATCCTGCCTCTTTCCCAGTGTCCCAGTGTCATCTCCCTCCAACCTTAAGTGGATAAGCAATTAAAAAGATGGGTGGATGTGTTTTCCTTACATACCTTTACAAATGTCACTTTTTCATTTTCATTTGTTCCACACAAAATATTTTGTCTACTATAATCATCTTTAGTTTTACATGTTTCTCCCATTTGTACACTTTAATGTACTTTATATACACTTTACCAATATCCAGTGTTCTCTTCTGCTTTTGCGTAGCATGACTATTGAAATCTTGAAAAACTGTGACCGTTCATAACAGGCGGATCCAGCAGACAGGAGCACAGCCCGGGACAGAAGCTAAAGCCATGTGAACTGGTCAGCAGCAAAGTGGATTTTAGCTGCCTAAAAGAAATCAATATTGGTCTAAGTGTGTGCTCTATTTAGTACATTTTAAAACTGACAAAAACAGCACTTTAACCTCAAAAGAGACTGGTTGTGTCACTGTGTGACTTTTTTTTATTAGTTTGAAAGCAAAGCTGCAAAAAGTGACGCAGCTTTGTTGAAGAAGTGATTTATGAAAAGCCAAAGTACGAAAACATAAATGAGATTGTCTAATTCTGCAGGTCTGAAAATATGTGATATGATGAGGAGAGACTATTGATCTTTGGTGTTACTCCTGTCTTCTCAATGTTGGTCGATTCCAAAGAGTGTGTACTCTCACCGACTTTTAGATGTTTTCGCGTTTACCCATCGCGAGGCAGTGGACGTTTAAATGACCCTCTCTAGGTCACAGCTTTGCAAAGAGGCTGAGTTTCATGCAGTGACAGTAATTCAGTGGATTGCCAAACACAGTTTTTTGGTTTGTTTTGTTCTCTCTTGATGTTTGCATTTACATTTTTCCATTGCAAGCTTAACCACTTGTTGTTCTCTTGTCTGTATCAGCTTAATTTCCTAAATATGCACTTCACTTTCATTGACCCCGCTGGCTATTTCTTCCGATGCTGCAGCTCGTGCAATCGCGGCGACGTGTAAATCCTGCCGTCATGAGGTCGTAGCTCACAGGGGGTCTTGTTCATGAGTGAGGATAAAATGGAGCATAAAATTAACTACATTGCCAGATTGCTGCAACAACTGCAGTGGTGTAGAAAAAAAATAGCACAAGACTGGCAATGTTGAGTTTTAAAGCATGTCTGCTGTATGCACCGCCGTTGTGTGTAATCCATTACTCCCCGGGGACGAGTAGATTGGATTGGTGAGAGCAGCTCTGTCTGAGCTGATGTTTCGTTGGCTTTAGGTGTGCCTGATTAGTCAGTTAAAGGCAAACGCTAGAAAAGCTGCACAGAGAAATAAAACTGTTCAGCCAAGCAAAACTGGGAGCTTATTGAAGCGGACATTTTAATCAGCTACCCAACAGGGGTGAGGCTGAGATGGTGTCGCCTCAGTTTGGTCTGTCAGGATGGATTGTGGGCGATGATATCTGTTCGAGCGGGCAGGTGGAGGAGGGGCAGGAGAAGCTTTGAGGAGGAAAGGTGGTGACAAGGAGGTCCGGCAGCTGATAACTCAAACAGCTGGCTCTGCATTCTGCATGAAGGGGGGAAAATATCAACAGTGAACCAAATGACAGCCATTCACTGTGATCAAAAGAGCGATTCGGCGTCTCTCTGCTGATTCGCAGGATCACAGACAGATTTTGGCTGTCGGGCCACTCGGCATCTTCACAGTAGGGCTCTGTTTTCAGATTGAAAAAGCTCAGTTGGCAGGTTACTGCTGCTCGCTGCCAAGTAATATCTTGGTGTCTTAGCGGCGTCACTTCAGTTTCAAACGTAAGGTGGTGCAGAGTGAAATATTTTGTTCTGTTCACACTTAATTCAGCATTAATAAGAATCAAATAAGCGCAGTGCCTGTTGGAAACATGTTGTCAAATCGTATGCCCTGTGCTCCGGTCCTGCTGGCACCGCGCACGTCATCTCCTTCGCTTCCTAGATTATCATGTTGTTGACACAATCTTCCCAGTGTGATTTGATGTGTGGGATCCATTTCACCGAACAAATTGGTGTCAAACATCTCGCCAAGTCTCCCACCAACTAATCAATAGGGAATTCATGGTGTGAGTGGGTGTCATTTCTCCATCTGTCCCTCGCTTTACAGAACTGCGCATATAACGGAGCTGCCAACCATCTGCCAATTTTTAGCGCTCGCCATTATTGCCGTTCAGATGTGTCATGCAGCTCGAACAGAAGCTGGTTACTCCTCCACGCAAAATCAATGTATTTGGCAGCATCAGATAAACAGCTTGTTAACATTTACTGCGTCATTAGGGGAACATATGCAGAGCGCTTGTGAGATTTATGGAAACCGGTTCATTATTAACCGCTAATAGTGGATAAACCAAACTCAGTTTATCATTCTGTTTCCAAATACTGCGTAAGTTGATGTGATGTCTTTATAAGTGGAGGCTGAGCTTGGTCGTTCTTTTATTCTGTTTATTCCAGACCTGATTAGGAGAGAGAGATGACCCTTGTTTTGTCCATGAATCCTTTCCTGGACCCAGAGGGAGACCCTCCGCTCTCCACTTACCAGCCCATATGGGAGTCGGAGCGCTGCACTAAGACCTGCCTGTCAAACCCCGCCCCGCCATGCAGCTCCGAAGAACAATTCACTCCAGGTACACACAGACTGATGTTTGCACAGTTAAGTTGTTTATTCAAACTTGCACAATTAAAGTTGTTGAGTAAAACAAGCAGAGTTAAAACAGTTGTGTGGCCACGCTCGACCTTGTAATCTGAGCCATCTGCCCAAGCCTCATCAAGGCGACTTGCTCTCCAGGAACCAGAATGTAAGCATGCAGCGCTTCTTATGGGAGGTTGTAGCAGATGCTGTTGTGTTGAGCGGTCAGCTAATTAACATGGTAGCAGGCTGGCATGTGCTTCTTAGTTCCATTTTAATTTGGAGCCCACTCATAAGACAAAGACCCTGCAAAAGCTTCAAAAGATATGTTGGTATTTTAGTCTTGCATTAGACAGATGTTTCAGCTAAAGTATTAACTCTGACTCCGACCTTTCTCTGACCCTGGTCTCTGAGGTTTTGTCCCCTGACTTCACCCCAAGAATAAAAAAATTTAGTCGGGGTCGCCTCACAAAGTTTCTGTGTCTCTCTTTGGCACTTCTGAAATCTTAACATGTATTTCAGTGTCTTAAACATCCCCATAGTGTGCACATTAATTCCAATATAAAAATATTTCATTTATATTTACTATTTTTGGCTTCTGCACAAACGCCTGCAGGGACAGTTTACCCCCAAATCAAATTGATCTGTTTTTGCCTCTGGCCTGTGGTGCTGTTTATAAATCTAGATTATTCAGGTGTGAGTCACGTAGTGTTGGAGATACAGAGATGTCTCTTTTCGCTCGCATACGAGGCAGATGACACTCAAGCTTGCAGTGCTTAAAGCGACCCAAAATACAGCAGCAGTGTCTCTTTGCAGAAATCACGAGACCTGATTACTCAAATAAATATATAACAAATCAGCTCCACAAACCTTGTTGTGAGTAGTTTTATGTATTTTAAAGGCAACTGCAAGGTTTGTGGATTTGTTTAGTAACCATGTCGTAGGTTCTAAAAAGAGACACCGCTGCTGACTCTTTCAAATGTACTTTTGGCATGATAGCACGTGCCAGCTGCGTCCAATATATTCAACAGAAGGTGGATATCTCTACTGTGGATTTCTACGAAACTGGGCACCTCAGATGAAATAATACAGCTGGATAAACAGCACGACAGGCTGGACTGGGAACTGTTCCTTTAAGTAGCAGGAGTCTAAATATTCTATATTCAGTCGGTGATTAATGTTAGCTAATGTCACGCAGTAATGGTGAAAACTTATAGTTCATCAGTGCAAATGATTAATGGTGATATTCTCTCTCCCTCTCTGCGCAGAGTCATCCTGCAGACGAGTTCCTGATCATATTTCAATGTCGAGGATCGCGTACTTCAAGAGGAAGTTTGTTGATGATGATGATGAGGCACCCTTTAGCTTCAGGACATACTGCCAGACTGTAAGTATTGGTACAAACACACTGAGACAGAATAAGTGGAAAGACTGTTGAAAAGTGAAGCGTTTAGTTTATTCCGAAACACAAACTTTACAGTATCAGTGCTGTTTAATGCAAATATTTTTAAGTCCAGCTATTTCCGTCTCTGTATTTTGTTACTAATTGAGGCAGGTCACTGACAGGTAGATCTAATGGAAAACTGTCCTTCAGGTTGCACCGGTTCTGGAGGAGCGTGCCCACGTGCTGCGCCTCTCCCTGGAGAAGATGCGATTCATCGACGACCCCGAGGCATTCCTCCGCCGCTCCGTTCTTGTTAACAACCTCCTTCGGCGTCTGCGAGCAGAGATCCTCCTCCAGAGCACTGACTGGTGCTTTCCGCCCAACCCAGCGTTTGCCTCTGGCCCTTGCATCCTGCCTCCCAGCACTAACCCCGCTCACCAGGCACTCCACAGAGCAGTGCCCGCCCGCATCTGCTTAGCGCCCCAAGCCGGGCCGCCCTTACGCAAACGTTTCCGAATGGTCCGTGGGGGACAGGGGGATCTTCGCCCTGACTGTGCCCAGACATGCTGCTGCATCTACGCCGCGGCGGCCGCCGCAGGACACTACCTCCACCTCCCATTCTCCATGTACGATGCAGCGCTCTCCTGCTCGTCTGCACCGCACTCCTCCTCGTTTTTTCAGCTGGCCAGCCATAGTAAGTTAGGGCTGGCAGTGGCCGTGGATGATCGTGATGATGAGGATGACGATGTTGAGGAAGAGGAGGAAAATGAGGAGGAGGAAGAAGAGCGGGAGGAAGAGGAGGAGGACGAGGAAGACGATGATGAAAGAAGACAAGCGGGGCCTTCGGTTGATGTCGTTAGCAACAAATCAAGCCAGAAAAGTAGGACTAGGACCCTGCTAGGTGATGCACACGGGAGGACAGAGGACAGCTGCATGACAGATAGGGTGGAAGAAGAGGAGGGAGAGCAGGAGGAAGAAGAGGAGGAAGAGGAGGAGGAGGAAGAAGGCGTGAGACAGTGCCAGTGGGACTGTACTGCAACAGAAAGAGGGCCACACAAGCTGAGCTTTTGGCATCGGAGGGCTCACAGACAATAATTCAATAGCATTCTAAGTCTCCTAAAAATGTAATGATGACGACAACTGTCTCATAACAGATTAAGGTGGAAGCTACCTACACTATAGAAATGCCAAGTCAGCTTTATTTTAATGGGTTATTATACTTCAGGGTACACAGACACAGCTGTCATTAGCATTAGTGAGATGAAGAAAAACAGCCTCTTCTTGGCCTCTGTTGGCACTGCACACATTTCTCAAACAATTATAAAGACCAAGGTCACATATGGCGGGGTCTTAGGTCCCCAAAGTGAAGTGAAGCTTGCTATTGCACTGTCTGCAAGACCATTTTCAAGCCCCACAGCACAAAGCATAAGGTCTCAAATGGGGCTTTTTTATTGGTGCGACGGTCTCGTTTCAGGACCCTAAACAAGCCTATGAAATAATGGGTTGTGGATCTGGGAGTGTGTGTTTGCTTCTGTGTGTGTGTTTGCAACATAATATGTAGCATTTAAAAAAAAACTTGATTCTGAGCTGTTGTTTTTATTAATAAATCGGGGTGGGGGGGGGGGTCACACATGATTATGCGTGACTGCTGATTTTGACGCTGACTCAGGCTATGGCGCGCGACTGTGCGGCGGCGGCGGCACAATATCGTTTATTCTTCAGATTACTTTAAAACAACACAATCATGAACATTGTTAAATCACATTTTCAAAGTGCCTTAGTGTTTTTATAGATTCATGTATATGGCGTGTTTATGTATTTGTTCTTGTTTTTAATGTAGCTATCTCGCATTCCAAGCGACTGCGTTTGACTAAAACAGGACACGGGCATGTAGTTAAATGCAGGGATGTTAAAAAAATGTTCAACTAAATTTAGACACCTGAAAAGTGTTTTTGTTTTTTTTGTACTTTGGAATGCATGTTTTCTAGCACCTCCTCTTCTGACAAAGCACAAACGTTCTGCAAACTTTGAAGGAGCGATGTTTAAGCCTTTAAATGCTAAATGTTTAAAGACCTCATTTATACTCGTCATATCCGACCGGGGAAGGTTTGTTGTTGGTTTACCAAAAATCACATGAATCTAAAAAACATAAAACTGGATCACACACTCGGAATTTAAAGATTTTGTTGACAGCATGATAATTAGATCCTGTAAATATATATAGAGCAATGTTGGTTTTGTTTGTTTTGTTTTTTTTTAAAGATTTCTGGTTGGATGGTGGATTTGTTTCCTTTGCACAGATCCAGTCCTCCCATTTATGGTGTTTATGGTCAGCTGTATGACACGCTAACTGCTAACACCTTCTGATTTAATCTCTTGAAAATAAAACAATAAGTATTTTCCAAAATGATGAACTGTGATTATGACTGAACTCTGAAAGTATGCCCATCCTCTCGAGAGTCACGTCTGTGTATGTGCCCTCAAGTTTTCTTGCGTCTTTGTGCATCGGAAATCAAGCACAATGTACTCAAAGCACATTGATTGGGGAGAAATATGTCAGGCCAATGTGAAATACATACACTTGATTCAAAACTAAGGACAGGCACTGCACCAAACCAGCTCTCACACTTAGGAGACTAATCGTGGGGGTCTTGTTTGATGCTGTGTCTCGTTTGCGAATTCTGAGGATCAGAAACTGAAGCCAAAGCTGTTAAAAAAAAAAGGACATAAAATATCCAGTTGTTGTAATTTCCTTTTTCCCATGATAATGACCTTAAGGCCCAAAGGATTTGGATAGATACATTTACATTGTTAGGTCGAGTCACCCACATTCAACCGGAAAAAAAGGAATTTAAAACACCGAAACCCATTCACTATCAGCGGTAATCTTAAAAATGGAAGACGGAGCAATGTTTTTGTGTGAATCGAGAACATGTAACTGCATTGTCTTATTAAAAATAACAAAAGAGCAAGCCTGCTCTGGTAATTTTGTGTGATGTTCTGTGACAAGTGTAAAGCTCAGTAAAAGAAATGTTGAAAAAACATCGCCGCCTCTTTTATTCTTTTTACATCACGCTGATCCTCGCAGCTTTTTTAAATACGACAATGCAGCGGGGGATGTGTGTGTGAGTTCCCGGTTATTGAATTGCTTCCCGTTCTGTCTGCTGTTCAGTGGAGTGCGGTGCCGCAGCACACCGCTCTTGCCAAATGTCTCTCAGGTGTCACTTTGCTGTTCAATTCATGTTAATTTTTTTGACATTACGCTCGGAGCAGTCACCTCCACACTTCTCCCTGCGCTCCCTGGCACACCTATTGTCCCTGCAATGCAACATTCACATAAAGCGTCTGCTTCCTTTAAACCCCACAGATAAGACAGGGACATTTTCAAAATATACACAACCACATTTGTGATTTTAAAAAAGCCTCCAGTACTTGCATATTTCTCTTTTCCATTTCTCTTGTTAAGCTTTAAGTTAAACATTCGTTAAATAGAGTAATGGCGCTTCATGTGTGTAGCCTCTAATTACTGGATTATTGCTAATGCTGTGCAGATTTTTCTATGACATTGCTACTGGTTGCTTGAAAGCAGCAAAGCCATTGTGGCTTAGAGTTTCCATGTGAGTGTGTGTCAGTAGGATGTAACAGTGTGAAGCTGGGAGGTTAAATCGCAGGTCTGAACATCTTGACAGCTCTGTTGCGAGGTGAGGATGGGAGATCATCTTTTCATGGCACTTCTGCTGCAGGGGTGTTTGGATCCTGCTGCTCAGCCTGGCCTCATCCCTCTCTCTGCTTCCACTTCAGATCACTCACTGTTACCGTCTCATTTTACACTTTCTGTCATTGGACAGATAAATATTATTGCAAAAGAAACATACAAAACTGAAATCATCGCTAAAATAATGTTTTTATGTTGTATAAAGGAAAGCACACCTTCTTTAACTTGTAAGGTTTTACATGTCAGAAGACAATGAAACCTGGTCATTATCAGGTCTTAAAATTAGGTAAATGCAACTTCAGTTGAACAAACTATATTACACCATGTGCTTATTTCATTTATTTACCTAAATCTATGCCAAACAGAAACAGTGTGTGAAAATATTAGAGCACTCTCACTGCTTCCAGAGCAATTAAGAGGACAAGTAACAGCAAATCAAATGCATTTGATTCATTGACCATTAATGCGAGCAAACAGAGGTTTTGGCAGTTTGCCAGCCTGAAGCATTCAGGTGTGTCAACCTGGGAAAGGTTATAAGAGAATGTAAAGTCCATCATTTTGCAGGAGAAAGATTATTCACAAGTGAGAAACATTCTTGACAACTGCTAATCTTCCCAGGAGTGGACAAAAACACTGCCCAAGGTCAGCCTGCAAAACTGCAAAAAACCCAAGAGCTCCATCTCAGACTCTACAGGTATGTTAAATGCTAAAGTTCATGAGAGTACACAGATGAGCCCAAAGTGAAGCGAAACGTTTGGCAAAAACCAAACAGCCTATCAGCTCAAACACCTCAACCCAACTGTCGGCACGATGGGGAACAACTGATGATTTGGGCATGTTTTGTACCCATGGGACCCCAAGACCTTCCAGTCACCGAACTCCTCTGTATACCAAAGAATTCACTTGCGTCTTAGCATTTCCTGGTTAGATTTCAGTGAAATCTCTTAAAGAATGGCCTCAGTCATGTTCAGACTCTCAGTCTGACTGAAATGCTGTAGGCCTCAGGAGGTAGAGCAGGTCACCTACTGATCGGAAGGTTAGTGGTTCGATTCCTTGCTCCTCCTCTAGTCGGCATGGACAAGATGGGCAAGATACTAATCCCAAGTTGCTCTCCGATGCATCCATCGGAGTATGAATGTGTCTGAATGTAGTTAGGAAGCACTAAGCATAGAAGAAAGTGCTTGGATGAATGGGTGTGATTGGGTGAATGTCGTACGTTGTTTAGAGTGCTTTGAGTACTCCGGGAGAGTAGGAAAGCCTTATCTAAGAATCAGTCCATTTATGAGAGCCGTGCATGAGCTACAAAAAACAAATAATTCAAGTTGTTGCTACTAAAGTTGTTACTGATCTACTGAATGAAGATGTGTTTTTTTTTTCAAAGGACTGTATGTAACGTAAAATTACTTAATTATTAAATTTAGATAAGCTGTATTTAATTTTCAATCATTTATGGTTTTTAGATAACCATTGAAGCAATTTTTAGCTAACCTATTAAAATCATTTATCTTTAACTGACAGTTTACTAATTCTAATTACATGATTCATCCATTACTTTTAGCTATTTCAACAATTTTATCAAATCCCATTTTCCCATTTTCTCTTATTCCTTTATTTTCTCATACATGTGACTGGAAGTCATTATTTCACATGATACATGATACGCTGTTAAATTGTTTTCTTTCCAAACTCTTTGTTCTCACAACATTTTCTTATAAAACTCAACATTAGGAATTTGGACAAATCTCATATTAAAAAAAACATTGTCCAACTACTGTGTATTTGTATGTGTGAATGCCACACTTACACTTTCGTACTAACGCAATTCTGCCTGTGTCCCTTTACCAACACCCACCCCCACCCCCCCCATGCCTAAGGCAAAGACGGGGACTTACCAAATACCACACTCATCCACGCACGCATAAACACAGACACATGAATATCGCCGGGCGAGTACTGAGGAGAGGGGAGCCGTCATTTGTCAACAAGGAACTTTGGCAGCTCACAGTTGCCATGGGAACTGTCTGTTGCCGAGGACTGGTTTTGCATCACAAGGTCCTCAAATTGGCTCCAAAGCCTCGGAGGTCCCACCCCTCCTCCACCCGGCTCACCTCCATCTCTCAGAGCTTCAAACATATTGTCAGGTTTTTCTTTTCTCCTCCGGTTTCTTTTTTCTTCTTGCTTTGCCGTCTGCTGCATTTCAATCCCCAGTCAAGTTTTCTAATTAGCAAGGACAGCGATCGATAGATAGATAGATAGATAGATAGATAGATAGATAGATAGATAGATAGATAGATAGATAGATAGATAGATAGATAGATTCTTACACATCAGGGATCCCTTTAAACCAACAATCACAATACACAGTTTAAAATAACAAGGACTACAGCAGTGATTTGCCCTCTGCAAGTGCTTACAGATTGTTATGCCTGAATTTTCATCCATGTCACCGCAGCTCAAGCCCAACAAGTCGATCCCCGTAGGATCAATTTGATTCAGCTTACATAACATCCACAGTTCTCTGGCTGTTGTTGATGTTTCTGGGTCTCTCCCTCCAGCATAATGCGCCTGCATTTCAGGGCTCAAAGAAGCTGTTGGTGTTTGATAAACACTTGTAATGTGTAGGATTGTCCTCAATCCTGGACTGTGAAGCACGTCCCCTTCACCACTCCAGTGGATATTTCACGGTGCCAAGACAAAGTTTGCAAGACGGAAGATGAAAGAATGGTTTTATTGGGTAGGAAACCTGACTTTGGAGATGGCTGGTCTCAGCTAACCACGTTTTTCTCAGTGTTGTTCTGAATGGGGCAAACAAAGCTGATGCATGATAACACAGACTGGTG